TTGTGATTGCTTTTTTCTAATTTTCACTTAATTTCCAACGAGTTTACCTATAGTGTTGGTTCCACCAAACAGAAGGTCAAACCATCTTGATCTTCATATCTAAGTTCACCTATAGCCTATTATGACAAGTGCATATTTACCAACTGCGCTTTCTGCTTTTTGTTACTGAGACGTATGCAGCTCTGTCGAATGAAGTTTATATTCTACCTACAATTTTACCTCATTTTATTTCATTCGAGAATTTGCTGCGAATTTATTTTTCCATTTACTTTTATCTCCGTCCTAAAAAATGCAAGGCAATCCACAGTACTAAGTTAAGTTAGAATGAGATTTTCAACTGACATTATAAACAACTTAAATATATGAATTCTAAATGACCACCCAAATATAGTCCCGATAATAAGTAATAAATAGAGGACCAAAACGTGTTAGCATGACAACTTTAATTAAAATTAGCTCTGATGGTGACTTTTGATTATTTTCTTTATCACCACATTACTTGTACCTATTTACCCTTGCCATCTATCTCTAGTAGTGTTTCAGAGGGGTCCATTATCAGGAACTCAGTATACCTACTGCCTGAATTACATTGTTTTACTTCTTAATAAGCTCTCTCTAGCATAACCCTGCTTATGTATGAATGCTATGTTTTGATTTCATGCATAATTTAGGCTTCACTATTGCCATAATTGATTTGAATTTGCATTAAGTATGCTAGGATTGGCTTTTATGTATTAGATTATCTTCATAATCAGGTCTACGCCTTCCATTTTTATACTTCATTTTTCCATTTATTTGTGTTCTTAACTAGGTCTCCCCGGAAAGGCATTTCCTTTTTAATCCGCTGTGGCTTCCTCGACACCTCTTCTGACCTGATCGCCCGATTCCTTTTGACACGAAAGGGTCTGAGCCGATGGGCCATTGGCGAATATCTGGGAGAGACTAAGGACGAATTGGCCAACGCCACTCTTCGGTAACCCTTGCACTAGTATCTATTTAAATATTAATGTGAAAAAATGAAATTGAGGCCATTTATCTAAATTAGATTTTTAAGTTGCGATGTGTTAAGGGATCCGGCTGCTGCTGATACTGACGAGCAGATTGTCTGACAAAGCCATGTCCATTCATTTAGTTCAGATTTTTACTCCACAAGTAATGCGATGCCTCATTTTCTAATTCACTTATCCATAGGACGCAAAATACAATAATATGATATTGCATGTATTGCCCAAATCTTTTCTAATCTAATCCACCCGGAGAGGCGATTGCGTGATAATTTTCCAATTTTTTCAGTCAGATTTCATCACATTCGCTTCAAACGCTTTCCATTTTGAGTCGCATAAGGTCTCTACGAATTCCGGGAATTCACATTCTGCCTGTAAAAATATATATCATAGTCAAAATAAGCACAAGACCAGCCAGTTTTAACTGATTACGCTGATCTCTATATTATCAACCATACTATTCCTTTGTTTTCGGTTGTTGTTTATAGATACAGC